TATTTAACATTGGTGCTAGCGTAAAAGCTAACAGGCCTCGCACCGAGGACCTATCCACGTCATCATTTACCCAGAATGCTTTGTGTGTAAATAAAATGGCTCTGTCTGTGTTAAAATATATATTTTAAAAATTTACAAAACTAAACAGCCTACAGTATTTTTACAGTCTTTATTTTACAGTTAAAATAAAGTCTAGTGTTACAACTAATCGGGGATTCCTTGAAAGATAAATTATTCTCAGTTTCTGACATGAAGGGCAATGGGCCAAAGATGTTTCTTCAAAGAATGCTAGGTCTTTAATTAGCTGCGTTTCCACTGACCATGAAAATGCTCAAATTAGAATTTTGAAAATAAATTTGCTCAATGGAAACATCAATTTCRAAAAAAATTACGTTTTTCGACAAAAAGTTTTTGCGCTAGGATGAGGTGGTATTTCGGCCATTTCAAAATTGGTGTGTTTCGCAAAACTGCAATGGATAACTTTGTGTAAAGGTCAAATATTGGTTCTTTGTACACACACCTGTGTCTTGTTTTGTCTGTTATATGAATACAAGACGTATTTATGTTTTGTTAGTAGATCCGGTATAGGTGGGGAGGGATGGGAGGGTTCTCAGGGGTGTGTGTTTTTGTTAGTTTGTTTTCTGTTTGTTAAAAATAATAAAAAAACTTTGACCAAAAAAAAAAACTGCAATGGAAACACATTTTTCGCATCACAGGAGTCACGTGATCAACAGCCAGCTGTTTCTACTGGCGAAAAAGACGACGACGAAGAAGATAACAGGAAGTAGAAGTAGTAGTAATATCACAGAAGTAGTATAAAGTAGTAAACTCACCGACTACAATTTCCCAAAAACACAGCATACATAGTCGCTCCCAAGTAGGGACTTGTCTCTGGAAAGTCTCGATAAAAGACGCCGACGTCTCCTCTGATGATGAGCGCTAGTGTCGCGGTAGCAACATGCTATGTGTTTACATCCATCACCGCCATGTTTGTAATGACTTATCATGAGAACAAACGTATTCACGCGTGACTTTAATAGCATTTCTTACTTAATGGAAACACCACAGTTGCAAAACTGTTTTTCGACATTAACAGAATATCGACAAAGTTTTGCGCACATTTGCAATGGAAACGCAGCTACTGTAGGCATGTTTAGTTGTTTTTCTTCAAATCAGTTTAGAATAAAAGCTGCAGAAAGTTTCAGATTTACTTTGTGATTCCAGAGCACTGAGCTGCTCTGACACCCAGCAACAGTTAGAAAAGCAGCTGTAAATACAGAACAGTAGCTCTGGGGTTCTGCTCTGTCACCCTAATGGAGCCAGCTCTGAAAGTTTAGCAAGCGACTCATTTCAGAACGAGTTGGTGTCTGCAAACTAATGTCTTTATTCTTTAAGCAAACTGATCGGTCAGAGGGAAGTGCTTTTTTCTTGTGAAAACTTATTTTCTCCTGCCAAAGAGAAGGTGAAACATCCTGCTCAAAACAACTGATTTTGCAACACAGAAAATGTGAGAACTGTAGCTGAAGTTGTCTCTCTAAACCACCTGACCTACCCCGAGCAGAAGTCTTCTGATGTTTCAGTTTCAGTGTCATTTAAGGTCGACTGTCTTTGAATGTATAACAGGAAGTAATAGTTGCTGTGTTTTGTAAGAAAACCTCATTTTCCAGGTTTAGCTCAATCTATCTGTGGTCAGGTCAGAGGCAACAGGTCCAGGACAGAAACCCAGACCTCATTTTCCATCTCCTCCTGTTGGACCCAAGCTGTTCCCATTCAGGTCAACCCCTCCTGACATTTACCTGCATCACGACCCTCAGAAATCCACAGTTTTCACAAAAAGCCTGCAATGCTCTCACACAATTCAACGGGACAGGGAAGTTCAGGGTTAGGGTTTGGAGCTGCAGAGGAGCAGGGAGGTAAGGACGAGGAGGTGGCAAACCTATTTCCTTACAGCCTGTTGGCTCTGAGACTTTAATAAATTTGAAGGTAAGTTTTTGAAAGAAATCTTTACTGCCCTACATGTCTGTATCCGTACAACTTGGAGTATCRAGGATAATCCCTCCAGAGTTCTGGGTCTCTTCCCAGTGGGATGGGCCTGGAAAATGTCCACAGGAAGGCGTCCAGGAGGCATCCGGATCAGATAAACTACCTCAACTGATTCCTTTTGATGCAGAGCAACAGAGGCTCTACTTTGAACTCTATGTTTAAGGCTGAGCCCAGCCACTCTCCAAAGGAAGATCATTGTGGCTGTTTGTATCCAAGATGATCCAAAACTCCTGACCAAGAAGAGAGTTTAAACCCATCAGATTGTGAAAAGTCATCAAAGCCTCAATAACCACATTTTTTGTAAAAAGTATCTTTTTCGTCTCCCTTCTTCAGGRGTCACCMCAGTGAGTGAGCTCAGGTAGATTTGTTTTACACCAGATGTCCTTCCTGACTCAACCTGGATTCAAACTTGCAGCCTCAGTATTACAAGACTCCAGCACAGATCTCTGTGTTTTTAGGGCTCTTTTTGTAAAAAAAGAAAAGTTAATAATGGTGCAAACTTCAAACAAGTACAGTTCCTGTCACTAAAGGTATTTATTTGACAGAAACATCAGAAGATGTCCTGTTTGTTGCTCAGCTGGATGTTGATTCTGTGTCTCAGACTTCATGTTTCTATTTGTTTTCAGACACAGYAGGAAACTAGGAGCCAATTCAAAGTGGTAACTCGCAACACAAATGTGGTTTCATTGAAAACTAGCTCAGGACCCTTAAACTATTATTAATTTAGTTTCCATATATTTAGAGGGCTGGGGCAGTTTTTTGACACCTGAACAGGAGCATGATGGGAGCAGAGCTGGGCAACAAAATAATGTACACAGCCAAGACTAGTTTTGCGAGTTGTGGATGTGACAATAGGTCATGGTTTTCTTCAAGTGTCCACTCAAAACAATGCACATCAATAGCCACTTGGTCATAAACACTCAGACTTCAGCGTGACTTAGGGCTGAATGATATTAGAAAATCTTGCAGTGGTGTAAATATTTGTAAATATTGCGATGACAATATCAGTTGCAATATATGTCTTTTTCTTTCTTCCCTCCTTTTCTAATCTGTACTTTCTACTCTATGTGACCTTTAGCATATTTGGTAGATTAATTTGTTTCTGGTGTGAGCTTTTACTGCCCTAAATACAAATGCAAAACTCTTGAAATACATTAGTAAACATTAGGGGTGTAAATCGCCAGCTTTATCACGATACGATATCTCTCGATATCACAAAGTCTGTCACAATGTGATTTCAATTCAATTCACGAGTCTACAATTGATATAATGCAATATCATATGCCCATCTAACACAATGTCTTAGAGGGGCATATGATCAATTCACATCAAGCATATGACGAACATATAGATCGATATTTTCATTTTGCTTCRATATAACTGAATCATTAACCATTTAATAGATATATCAATATAGATTGATGTATTTCTACACCCCTAGTCAACAATTACAGCACTCTAAGCAGCCCTTTGCTATATGAATATTGCGCACACTGATATTGCGATGACGATATACTCATGATATGTTGTTCAGCCCTAGCGTGACTGCAACTGAAATTTCACCACCAACTTGTCTCCTACATTACAGCGCAGTGATACCGACTTTAGTGACAGAACTCACTGGTTCCCTCGAGTAGGGCCATTCTTTGTCGTTTTGCATATGCCCGCAGATGATTGGACAGGCTAACTCCACTCTCGAAAGTTGCATTGCAATGAATGCACATTTTCCTCTTGAATTCGCCAGTTTCTGTGAAAGACACGCACGCACGCACGCACACACACACGCACACACACACACACACACACACACAAGTTTAGTTTTTCCAAAGTAAATGACAGAATTCATCATAATATGGCTAAAGATGCAATAAAATCAGAATGGCCAAAACCAGGCCCTGCTGAGACCCCCTTCACACTGGATGACAACCCCACTATGTCGTAAAAAATCAACCAGAGCATAGAGRGACTTTGCAGGGTCTGCAAGGTCTTCAGCAGAGTTTTAAGAACGCAGTGGGTTTCTCATTGTGTGATCAGTCTCCAAAGGATTTCAGAATCTATATCTAGGTTGTGGTCATCTACCTTATTATCGTGACAGGATACTGAGGCAGAACCAATTTATTTGTGACATGGGGCTTGTAGGCAGCTGCATGGCTTGGTTGTAAGGAATGCGAGGCAGTACTGCTTTCACTGRCCTCATGCCTAATGCTGCGTTCCAGTAGTTCTGGGAAGTGGTAATTTCCCTGTTCCCATTGGTAGATTTAAACTGGAACACCCCCTCCAGTGGTAATATTCCACTCATATAGTGGAAGAARTGAAACTGCCCCCAGTTTTGATTTCAAGATGGCGGCTACTCGCAGCTTTAGAAAGTTAACTCCGTAACTTTTACTGTTAATTATCTTTCTTAATTTTTGTGCATGTTTAATCACTCACACAACTAGTGTGTTTTCTGTACAATACTGTACGTATTAAAATCAATGTTTATTTGCATGACGTACGTAGTAGAGCTCTTTTTGTCATTGTTTACATTGTAGCAGTGTTGTAGCTAGATTAGCGGCAACAATACAATCACCTGTCACCTAACTGGAATGCAGTTTCATATGGTTTTTTGGGAAATGACGTCACTACCATTTACCAGTTCCCGGAATACTATGGAAATGGAACGCAGCAGCTACGATCACATGTTCACACGCTATGGTAAAATTGTGCTGATGTGGGGTTATTTCCTAGTGTGTACCTGAATCGTGAAGTAATAGTGCAACTTGGCGTATGGGCTAGGATAGTTSTAGGGACGTAGAGCTCACAGGATGTTACCCAGAGAGAAGTAAGAGTGCAGGTGAACTCAGGTCTCAGAGATGTGGAAAATATCATGCCTGCCTTCACACTGAAGGAAGTTTTTTAATTTGCTGAGATCATGTTCCCATAGGACATGTAGGTCATGGAGAGGRTAACTGGGTTGTAACCATGTGGGAAGAGGGCCTTAGAATCTGTTAGTATTGCAATATTTATCTAATTCCACATTCTGATGGTAAAAAAAAAACAACCAACCCTTTCTTTTGTAGTTTTTGCAAAAATGACTAAGCACAGAATTCATTTTGGTAACACATCGTGAAGATATTTGGAGGATAACATTGCATGCGGATGATATCTCATTTTAGCAACACAAAATGTGATTATCTGTGCTTGAATGTGGCTTTCCAAATGTCTCCAAGTGAAATTTGAAAAAGAAATTTGGTTCCTGTTCAGTAAAATCACGAAATTCAGCCTTTTCAAAATTTGTTTGACAGAAATAACCAAACAGAAAAAAACATTTAATAGTCTTATTATTTTGACTCGTCCTAAATTAATATTACGTGTAAGTGATGAATACACAGGCTTCCTCAGCAAGACATTTTAAGAATTATAATGACAAAAATAYTGTCATACTGAATTGGACTTGCATTAAATTTGACTATCTTTCAATAAATACAATAAAGTGATTCTATATTTAAATGTTTAATTATATAATCTGATGTACTTTTGACCATATAAGGTGTGAAGATACTGCATTAAATAGTTTAGTAAAATTACATCTGTTAGCAGGATTCAGGCATTCTTCTGTAAGTTGGTTACGCCTCTGAAGGAGTATCTTACCTGATCCTGAGTTTGGCAGTAAAGATGCAACTCTTGATCCTGAACTGTGCTCACTGTTTGTAAAAACTGTCAACTCGTTTYTCGACGTCTGAGAGGATCCTTTGAATCTGGTGTCTTCCTGACACTTTCTCCTCTTCAGAATTCCTATTAAGGCAGTTGTGCCTGAGAGAGAGTTTTTAACATCCAGCTTATCCTGTTGCTCATTTTCAGATGTACTTGCTTCTAAAGAAAACGTGGTCATCAGTGGTTTTGGATCAGTGCAAACRCTTGCGACAGAATGACTTTTTGGGAAGCCGGTCTGAGAAGAGGTGTAGCGATTAGCGGTGGGTAGCTTTGGCAAAGCACCGTAATGGAAATGGTTCCGTCTTCTTCCCAGGATCTGAACGGCTCGCTGGAACTCCTTTTTGTCACGCATCAACTCGCGYAGTAAAATGATTGGGGACTTGCTCTTTTCAGAAAAACTTCTCCCAAGCTTTTTCAGGTGGCCTCGTATGTGGTTGGACTGCCCAGTTCTGTTATCAAATGAGTCCCCACAAAGTGGACATGAGTGAATGCTCGTCACCGTCTCAGAATCCGTGTCTAGCTGTAGTGCTGGAGTAAAACAAACAAACAAACAAACAAACAAACAAACAAAAACATTGTACCAGTGCATTATGAACCATTTGAAATATGTACTACCAAAACAGATATAAATCCATGATGTACAGTACAGCCAGGTTAAAACTTCTATTTTGACAGTTCAGTGCTTGGATTTGTACAACGTTACCAAAATGATAACAGAAAGAAACAACTGACGACTCTTGGAGGATCAGGTTCTGGTCACTGACAAACCTACACTATAACAGACTTAAACTCTTATGATGCCTTCTTCATGTGATAGGTAGATAGAAATGTGTTCTCTACTAATTTGAGCTGTTCCCTCACTTAACTGATAAGCCTCACCTTAAGGTCTGGGCCTGTGGTGAGGATCTGGTCTCCTTGTGTCTTTAGGTGAGKTAAGTATTTTTCAAAMAGTTGGGCAGTTGGTTAGCACTATCGATTTCAGCAAGAAGGTACTGAGTTTCAAATCTAGGCTACGGTCTTCCTGTGCTGAGTTTATTTCTTCTTCCTGGGCATGTATGGGCTCTCTCTGGGTGTACACCAACTCTTGTCTGTTGACCACTGAAGACAGGCATCAACTTTCTGCAGCTCTTAACAGGATCAAAGCAGGTATAGGAAAAAAAACACCACTAATTTTTCTCAAAAGGCAACAGTCCAAGCATATAATCACTGAGGCATTATTTTTCTTTWCTAGACATTATAGGGTGGCAAATAGTGGGATATCATCTGCAAAGACAAAGACATAGCAGTTTATTCTGAATAACTTAGCTAAGAATGAGGTTTCCAATTACGTACAGTATATCTTWTCACTTAGAGCTATAAACTATAAGTAGTGAGTAATAGGCTTGGGCGGTATGAAGGTAYTTTGTTATAGTGCAATATCAAAATATGRCAACGGTATAAAAAATTATGACGGTATGAGTTGCGTGAGGGGAAGTGCATATGAATGCTGAGAAAAACATTTGAGAGGWCCACCCCCCACCCTGYAATACCATTTACCCCAGTAWTTTCTAAAGGTCATACCGCAATATGAAAATGAGCTATACCGCCCAACACTAGTGTGTAATCAGTTGCAAAACCAAAATGAGAAAAGTGTAGCTTTTCTTGCACCAGTAGAAGCTAGGTGAGGTAGATTTCAGCGTCAGGAGCGTCAGGTTTACATGTAAAGTCTATAGTGGACGCGCATCAAACAGCGTCGGGAAGTTCTGCGGCGTGTCCAGCGCACTTTGAACGATTTGAGCGTTTGACTCGCGTCGAATGCTGGAGTTGGAAAATCGGAACTTTTGCAGCTCGACGCGGCACGTCAACCAATCAGAGAGACTCCAGTGTGTGACGTAGTGACACATTTTCTGACGGGACAGTTTCCTGAATGATGTCCACTAACCTGAGACAGATGGAGCTCTTCAGCTGAAATTGAGTGCCTGTAGTCGGTGTCCTGACAGGAGATGTGGGCACCGATGTGGGACAGCGGCTCATCAAACTGAGCTCGGGACAAAAATACCGTATTTATTTGTGTATAATACGATCTCATGTTTAATATGATCTCATGTATAATACGACCCCACTTTTTTGAGCTTAAAAAGCATAAAAAATTTTTATCCTCAAACTACCTCCAATTTCATACAGACTTCCAGATTTTTCAGGCTTTGCAGTCTTTATACATATCAGTAAAATGATCATTGGACTGTTCATTTTATTTTAACAAGATATGCACTAAAAGGTATTTTGACAACAAATATATATCAGCTGTAGCAGCATCATATGAATTCTGGCATTTTACACATAGTCCACCAGGAGGCGCCAACACAAAATTCAGAGACTTCACATGCGATTTGGGCCATCTTGTGGGGGAAAAACTGAGTACTTCCTACTCGCGAGCGCCCCCTGTGGTGGGGAAACACTTTTTCAGGGATACAAACTTTTTTAGAACACCRGTAGATGGCMRCCATTACAGACGAACATGTTWGCTGTTGTTCGAGGAGCGGYCCGGTCACATGCTAATGTCATTAGTTCGCTATCATTACTAAGGTGCAGGACTGCTTTTTCCTCCTTTTTTCCACATCATGTCGCCTGCCTGGATCTGTTACTATCTCTCTCTGAAGCACGAAGGAGTGTCAGAGGTATGTTCGCTTCAACTGCTTTTTACATCATGGTCTCATTTCCGGACGCATGTATGAAGCCAATATTTCAGTTAAAATACACAAGTAAAAATATTTATCCGAGTATAGGACTACCCCCCACCCCAACTTTATGGATGATTTTATGGATTTAATTTTACGTATTATACTTGAATAAATACGGTAGCTCTGAAAGCGAGCCTCGTTAGCTCACAGCTCCTCGGTGGTGAAACTCACCCAACTCAGAAAGTCTCTGAATTATCTGGTGAATAAATTATTAATTAATTATCTGATGAGCGTGGCATTCTCTTGTTCTCAGTAAATAAAGCAAAGCCACTTCCTTTATTTCATCCGCCAACAGAGACTGACAGAGGAGGGAGGGGGGAGGCTCTTGACACGTTAGACGCGCGTCAATCACTTCAAGGGCAATTTTGACTCGCGTCTGACCTCAAAGTGCACAAGCATCCAACTTGAAGCATTGGACGTGATTTTGATGCTGGAATCGCGTTCGCTGTGAACGCAGCATAAGACAAGGCAACTAGGCAGAATCCACACTTGCTGAATAATATCCCAGTCGATTTGTCAACGCTTTATTGACAATGCCAAAAAAGGTAAGGTGACCGGACAGTGGTAGTTYAGATAATTTCTCCCTCTGTGAGATTTGTACAAGCTGGTGAAAATGGATCAGTGCACTRATTTTAACCTTTGACACCAGGCCACGACACCTAACCCTAACGTTTGCCTTGTCTTTGAATTCCTACAACAAACTGTTTCAGACACTGGACTAATTCAGGGAGAGCCACTAAGAAGTGAGAAACCCACTTCAACACTGGATGAGAAGARAGAAATACATGGGTATGCAATGATAAACACAAGTAAAATATTTACCGGTAACTCRCTGAGTAAGTATTGGCAATCACTAAGTATCAGGTGGATATGTGATGTGGCAAAAGTACAATTGAACCTGCTGGTGCCTATTTGGACAGGTTGTCAGTCCATCATAGGGCTAACACAGAGACACAAAACCATGCATGGTCCCACCAACAATTAACCTAACCTACTTTTTGAACTGGGGCAGGAAACTGRAATGCAGAGGGAGAATATGCAAACTTCATGCAGAAAGGCCTSAGCCAGGAGTTGAATCCAGGATCTTCTTGCTGAAAAGTAACTATTTTAACTACCTGTTCAACTATGTGGTCTTTTCTCAYGTGACAAACAAAATGCAATTTATACCTAATCCAAGCTCCCCTACTCCCAAGTGATTAATTCTTGGTCCACAAAATTCCTTCAAATTGCACCTCCTACCCACTCCCAGGTAGTAATACTCACAACAAGCAACAATTTTCTAATTAAAGACAGTCATAAGCATTTTACGTACCTTTTCTCAATCGGCGAATAGCTAAAAACCTCCGTCGAATACGTGGCCGCCTGTCTTGGTCAGCCACCTGCTCAGGAGGCACAGCATGGCGTTCCTCATAGCTCAATCCAACCCTATGAAGATGTCCTCGCACRTGATTGGACAGTCCAACACCAGACTCAAAAATAGCAGGGCAGTATGGACAGTTTTTCTGGTCYGCTTCCAGTTCTAACAAATCATCTGTTGGGGATTCTCCAAACGGTATTTGGTGGGAGTGGGACTCAAAGGTTTCTTGAAATACYTCAGTTTCAATGGATTCTTCTTTRATTTCAGGGTCATTCTGCTCTTGTTCTTCTGTCTTTATTTTCTCAAACAGTTTCCTGGAAGCCTGTAAAGCACCTCTCATAGACATTCTTCTACTATAGGTATATATGATATGTTTTTTTCCTTTGTTGATGTCACTRTCAAAATAGCTACTATTGGCTTCAGAATCTCTGCCTGGGAAAATGTCTTTTTCATCTAGGTCATCTTCTAGGTTCAGTTTCTTGGGACTAGACAAAGGTTTTGGTAAAATAAAGCATGAGTCTTGGTCACAGGTGTTGCGATACGGGGTGGACATTTTACGTTTAGAGGATGACTTTTTGACTGGTGACTGATCCATGTTCGTCTTCGGACCATTTGGGGATCCAGCAGAAAACTCCACCTTGACAGACATTGTTTGTGGCGTTTGGTCGCAGGCATTTTTGTCACTTTTGGAATCCTGAACAGTGAAATTATTGCTTTCCTCATTTTGTTCAGCACCCTTGCTTCCRTTGTTTTGACGAGACAGAAGAACGTTAATGGATTTGTCGAGTTTTGATTCTGTTGCTTTAAACTTGAGCTCTCCCTTTACTTTACTGTTTTTGAACAAGTCAGAGAGGCTGCTGGACTCATCGGGTGAACTATCGTTTTGACACATTTGATTTTTTAACGATATTTTAGATGTGAACTCTGTATCTGCAACAGGAGTTTTCCATGTAGGCCACTCATTCTCCCTGGCTGGTTGTGCGGTGTTCCCACTCTTCTGTGCTGCTGTATATTCATCAAGAGTCAATTGATGACGTAGTATTAGATGRTTCTTAAAAACTTTTTTACCAAAAGCTTTATAGGAACAAATGTCACAGGGAAACATCTCAACTTCGTCTTTGGGTCGTGTTTTTTTAACGGTAATGACAGTGTGATCCAGAAGGTGATGTTTCCTAAGATCGCTCTCACTCTGAGTTGTATAACAACATTTGTCACATCTAAACTTTTTGTCCTTTTCATGTGTTTTTGCATGTTGAACAAATGTGTTTGGGCAAGTTGTTCCRAACGAGCACTGGGGGCAAAAATACATAGTGATAGTTTTTTCTTTTTTCTTCCTATCTTTGACTTCTTCAAYGGGTTTTGGTTTCTCCTCCTTATGGATGGACATGTGATCAGTTAATGTGCTACTCTGTTTAAAAGACTGGCCGCATTCTGGACATGTAAAAGACTTTTGTGAAATTGAAGAGTCATCATGAGATTTCAAATGACAAAGTAAGAGATGCTCTTTCGTGAATGAGAGCTTACATTTTGAACAAGGGTAGCGCAATGAACTACTTTCTGAATGCGAATTCATCATAAGCTCCATCTTCAAAGGTGAAATTTTATGATTGGTACTTTTCTCATGTGAACTCTCAGGTGATTTGTAAAGGATTTCTTTGATAACCTTTACGGTTCCGTTAGGATATTTGGGAACTTTGTCCGTTGGGGATGACTGTGGCTTGGAGTTCTTTTCTGGTTTTGTAACTCTAATAGGACTGGAGTCTACTTGGGTTTCTTCATCACATGATTCCTCAGATGACTCGGGGCTCATATTAGGGTACAGGTCTTCTGAGGGGTCCACCATGACAACCATGTCCATTTTTCGTTTTCTTCTCCTTTGAACGTTGACAGGTTTGACTTCCTCTTTAATCTCTTCACTGGGGGAATCATTATGGTTGTCCCACAGAAAGTGCATAAACTCTTTGTGAGGATCCCAGCTGAGATCACTGGCACTACTGAAATTATCCAATGAGTTTTCRGGTGATTCAACGTCAAACCCCCAAATTCCTGAATTATCTATTTCCTGCACAGTCTTTAGTGGGGTGATGCTCTTTTCCTCCTCCTTTTCAGAGGCGATGCTGTTGAGTTCATGATCTTGTACGGCCTGATGCAACGCAGGTCCATTCTCCAGTCCAACTGGAGACAACAGATCTGTGTTTGACAGAACATCAAGAACACTGGTCTGTTTCAAACAGGGCTTGCCAAAAGTAGAGTCTGATTCTTGTGCCATTCTCATAGATTCCTGCATGACAGTGAGGGCATGGAACTCAGAATCAGCATCTTTGTCATCTTCATCAACACCTGTCAGACATGACGTTTTCGTTGCCATGACCTGAAAAACAAACAAATTATATAATCAGATGTCAGTAACAGTTTATTTTATATTGTTTGCTTAAAACAAAGACAAAGTTTAAATCAAATTTACTTTGCAAAAGGCTTAGGGGAGTATTCTTTCCCCGTATGCTAATAGTTAAAAATAAGATTGTCAAACCTTACTGAATTTGTGAAGATTATTGTGACAAAGCCATTGGCGGAGCCAGACATTTTTCTCAGGGGTGGCCAGACTGGGGCCACTACTTACACAGGGGTGACTAGGAAAATTACTTAATTTTTTACTTGAAAGTTTTCTGCAGATCTTTGTTTAGGCCATTTCCTTATACCGGCAGTGACTACCTTATAAACATGAGCATCAGAACCATTTTGGGG